AGTGTGCCTCTTAGCTCAAGTAGATACAAGAGACTAAACAGGCAGCTTCTGTCTGGAGGTGAGATGGCAAGGCAGAGAGGGTTAGGAGTTGGTTGAATGGACATGGGAAATCGGGTGGAAAGGCGGAGTGTGCTGTCACAGTATGGGGAGAGTAATTAGAGTCATATAACCATGTATGTATAAATTTTTGTTTGGGAAAAAAAAAATTCGTATTTTCTTTTTTAACCCTGATTAAAATTTCAACAAAACAAGCCTTAATTTGTTATTGTTTCAATGGGTAGTTTGAAGCTTTTCAAATATGTCTCATAGACTTCAGCAACTCAGAAAGGGGAACATAAAGATATGCCCCAAAATTGCTAAGATAGCAAAGAAACTCAACTGATGCAATTTCCCTTCCTCTCCCCCAAAGCACACACAACGGTAGGCACATTTCTCTAAAGGCAATGAAAAACTGATCAGCTGCTAGCTCGCTGCACCTTAAAGTGGGTGTAGGGATGCTGAACCCTGACAACTCAGTGAGAATTGCCCTCAACTGCTAAGATCGCTACTTAATCACAGTTTAATCAATCAACTTTTAAAATTAATTTCATTAAATAAATTCTAGTAAATTCATTTAATTTTAACATACATAAAATACATGTTATTGTATGTGCAACAGTAAATTATATAATACATCTCCTACCCCCTTTAAAGTATACGGTGGCAGTTTCAACTTTAAATCAGAACGGATAAGCAGAATGGGCACATCGTTTACAAAGTTCCCAGGCAAGAGGACTTTATCAGTGATTAGGCACCTGCCTGAAGCATCACTGTTCAAGCTTCTGCGTGTGCCTGCTACTTCAGCAGCACAGAGGACTTGGACACCCCGATGATTCCACAATGGTAACTCCGTCTTAGAGGCCATCTGGATTGCTTTTCAGAGGGACTGGGAATCCCACCAGGTCTGGCAGGGAGGACGGAGGAGCATCCCTCTCATGCAGAAACATATGGTGCCAAAGGTGGCAACCAGTTCTCCATAACCTACCCAGTTCTAGAACTTACCCTCAGGGTGTTCTCATCAATTAGATTTCACGAAAGAATGGAGTTACTCCAAAGCACGGGTGGCCTCAATCCCAGCACTGACTGTGGCCATTAGAGGGAGATTTACAAACCAATTCTAATGCATCCTCATCCTCTCTCTGCAAAGATCAGACTCTAAATAAGCTCCTTTTAAACTTCAGGAATTTTCCCCTACTTACATGAACTTCTAAGAATTTCCATTTTTTTCCTTCTCCAACTAGTAGATGGACAACAATCCACACAGCTCACCCTTATTTTCCCTATAGGGAAATTGTCTCCTATGGGTAAGGTAACACACAGGGATATTGGTCATTCAAAAGATGCTGCCACCATCATCATAGGAAATAGGAACCTACGTCAGCAATGCCAACTTCCACTCAGAAAAGGAGAGAGTTGAAAAGATTAACACACCTCTACAACTCTTGGGTTTTCAACCTTCCTTTGTAAGCCCTTTAGGCCATATGCCTTTCAAATAGGTCTTTCTGGCTGCTCAGTGGTCTGTCTGGGAAAGGGAAGGTTGTAGCTGCTTCATTTCCTGTTGTCTGAATTTCTCATACTCCCATTCAGTCTTGATGCTCACAGATACCTTGAAGGAGCAGTTGCTGAATTTTATTTCATAGCAGTAATTTTTAATTCCTAACCAAAGTTTACTTAACTGACTTATTCGACCAACTGATGCAATCTATTCCTCTTATGAGACATATTAACCGATGCCGTTGGCTTACTGACCCTCGTGTGAGTCCACATGCTTTGTTTGCCATAGCTTAGTAGACGCTTACCGTGAGTCAGCTACGTCTGTTTTGAAACCTGTTATGCCCACTCTACTTATTACGGGAATCATGTTATTCAATTAAATTATTATGTAAACACATTTTATGTGAGTGTGGAGAGAGGTGCTTCTATGCTAACCAAGCTGAACGCATTTATAAACATCTCTTAACATTTGCATCTAACCAGGTGTGGGGGTCAATCATAAAAGACGGGACAAATCTTTAAAAATCTAGAAATATTTTACACTCAGATGACTTCAAATTTTAGGTTTTTGAAATGGGAATGTTAAAATCTGCACTAAAGGAGTTATTTATGCAAGAATGCCGATGAAGAATGCAAATAAGCAGACTCATAATCAAAGTAAAGCTCTACATCAAAAGATTGGAGAATTGACATACATTTATAAATTTTGAGTCATGATAGTGTTTATGCATTTTTGATTTTTAAATTCCCCTTGACCAACGTTTTTTTTCCTTTTATGAGAATGAACCAATATCGACTACAATTGTGTCAGCTAGGAAGGCTGTCCTTACCTCTGTCTCAAGGAAAGAAAGCCAGCAGGCTCTTCCTTGACAACACAGATGAAAACGTCAAAGGTGTAGTGACAGTTTAATTGCTACAAGTCACCTAAACTGCTGCGAGTAAAGGCAACCTTCCGATCAGTCCTGTTCTTTCCTTACATCTCATCCACCCTCCAGCCCCCAACACTGAGAAAGGGACACTAAGTCATACCCATCCTTTTTGTAAAACTCCAGCATCATATTATCCGTGGCAACGCTAAGGGGCCGGCGGGCCTGCTCGGGCTGGCGGCGGTCGGCGGGATCCATGTCGGGGGAGGGCATGGAGCTGTAGTTGGCGTTATGGTTCACATGTACCGGACTCCCATAGTTCCCTGTAATGTTGAATTCTATCTCTGTGGGGAAGAAAGAAGGGGTGTACATGATCTCCTCGTCTGTCTCACTCTCTCTGGGCAGGGGGAGGATAAGCAGAAACGGCTTCTTCTTCATACTTCACCCTTAGAAAATGCTGTCCAATGGTTCAACATTAGGAACTATATTGATAGAATTCACCTTCTTTATATAATTCATCATATTTACAGGCAAGGGAGAAAACACATGGGATCACCTTGATAGGCATTTGAGAAAGCAATTTCCATCTGTGATTTACAAAAACTTAGGCAACAGGAACACGTGGCTACTTACTGAAAAAGACAAACTATTGCAAACCTCATGTTTAACAGTGAGCATCAGAGCAGTCTTAATAAAACCAGGAACAACAGTAATACTCACTCACAATCATTATTTAACACTATTTGAGAAATGCTAGCTAATGCAATTAGTCAATAAAACAAGATAAGAGATAATATTGCTATGTGTAGATAATGAGATTGTCTTTCTGAAAAATCAAAGAGAATCAATTAAAAAGGATTAGGGATATTTAGAGATTTCGTTAAGTTTGTGGGCTATCAAATAGAGACAGAAATGCTCATCCCAGCTTTTCTATGTCATATAGCCTATCTGCAAAGGTAATGAACTAGCTCACCCACAGAACCTACAGAATTACTGACTTCAGTGCCTATCTCTTTCACTCCTTTATCTTGATTTCTGACCCTCACCCAACTCTGTGTCATCAGAAGAAGTCTCGCGAGATCAGCAGCAGCTCGAACGTCTTCAGTTAGATCAGCTCTGATCTATCGCCTCTGATGTACAGAGCACAGGCTTATTAACGTTTGGTCTTCACAGGGACTAATGGCTCGTCCTTGACAGCCAAGAGCATATTCTTAACATTAACTAAACATAAGGTATGGCACCAACTTTTTTTTCCTTAAAGAAAATCCAGAACTTAGTGTATTAACTGCTGTTTCCTCTAAGTTGTTAGCGTGGAGAGCCAGCCACGTTTGAGGGCCGTGATGCCTCCATGACTCTGAACGTTTCTGAAACTCCCTCTCATGGAGCTGCCTTCAGAGCCTAATTCTGAACCAGATACAAAAATGAACCTCACTGCTCTGAGCACCACCTTTCCATGCTAAGGGGCAACTCAGAGGACATAGCCCCACAGCAGCAAGGGGAGTGCTCCCAGGCAGTCTGTAAAGTCCCCGGGCCTCACAGGTCTCTACCTCCCTCTCCATCCACAAAGTGAGGAGTTTGGACCAGAGGATCTCTCCTGTCTTCCTGCACCAACTTCTGTGATCTGTGGATTTAAAGCGTCCCATGGTGTGGGATGTGAGACCAGTAAAATCCACAGATGGAGTTATACAGGCTGTCAACGCCTACAGGACAGAACCTCCCCTGGGCAGGCATTAGGAGTTTAGGAAGCTGCCGTGACTCTACCACCTTACCTGAGTGTATTTGTGTGCGTGTGTGTGTGTGGGTGCGTGTGCATGCATGTAAGAGAAAGAATTACAAACAAAACAAACAAAAATCTTTGGGCAGTGGTACTTGAGTTTCCAAGGCTCAGAAGTCACAGTGGCACTCTTGCTCTTTCCTGGTCCCTCACCCCCACTCCTGCTCCCCAACTCTCTGGGCCCACACCTGGATGCCACCACGTACCCCCAGGGAAGAACCAGTCAGCATGCTGGATGATGGGTTCGATGATCCCAACAATCTGCAGTGAAACCGTGGTCATCATCTCTGTGATGTTCCTGCAAGGCACACAGCAGAGGGAGGCAGGCAGGTGGGGTTATCAGCTGAAGCAGGTGAGAGGCACTGGGTCTTCTGGCCACAGCGCCCAGGGCAGAGCCCTGGACTGGAGCCCTGCAGACCGAGGTGTGAGAGCAGGCTTTCTCTTGGGAAAGACACTTAACTTTTCTCAACTTCTCTTTCCCCATCTATGGAATGGGGATAACCACAGTGGTCCCCCTTACAGAGACGTTAAACAAGCAATGTACATGAAATCACAAGTATGAGGCACCTGCAGTGTGAAGTATGATTATTATAACCGCCAGACTTATACTCCTTCCCAATCTTGTTCTCTCTTCGCAGCCAGCCCTCTCTCCCTCTGAATCCTGGTGTTGGGGTGGGTGCTCCTATGACAGGGTGTAGGGAGGCCTGGAAGAGCGTGTGGGGACAGGTGTCATCATATTCCTGGCCCTGACACTGATTCCAAGGAGACCTTCACTCTCATCTGTGGCTCTGAGACCATCAGTGACAAAGATCTGCAGAAGAATCCTGGGCACCCTCTGAGGCTGAAACGGGAGCAGGCCACAACAGAAAAATGACTTGAAAAACAACTGAGGCGGTGAGTGTCTGGGGCCCGGTGGCTCTGCCCACGCCCCCCGCCCCCTCTCCATCAGCAATATGGCCTCTCCTCACTGTACTCACCCTTCCGCTTGTGGCCACAGGAGGTTGGGTCCTAACACAATTGCCATGTTACTGGGGGTCATCTTGTTTATATCTTGATATTCTGACAGCTTGGATAAAAATTTGATCAAGTACCTGAAAGGAAATGAGAAGTGCCAGGTTTAACTCGGGCTCAACATCAGCCATGTCCCTCCACGACCGGGCATAAGCTTCTCTCTGGTAGCACATCCTATTGACAGGCCAACTCAGACATGCTGCAGCAGAATGAAGACACATCAGGTATCAGGAAACAGGAACAGAGACTCAGATCCCATTCGGCTAGACGTCAGCACACACCTCAACTGACTCTGGCCAGATAAACTCTCCACCTTTCCTTTTGACTCAGTATACAATTACCTAAATTTCCTTCCTCTTTTCAAATCTTGGTCACCTGCTATCCTTTCCCTGTGTGCAGAGGTGACAAGCAAAGTGTCTGCACATCACTGGACTCAGAACCAATGCCCAAGAAGCAGCAGTCAAGAAATCAAATGACATACTGGCCAAATCTGCTGCAACAGATCTCTTTAAAGTGTTAAAAAGTAAAGATGTCACTTTGAGGACTAAGGTGCGCCTGACCCAAGCTATGGTGTTTTCAATCACCTCATACTTATGCAGAAGCTGGACAATGAATAAGGAAGACTGAAGAAGAACTGACACCTTCAAATTGTGGTGTTGGTGAAGAATACTGGATATACCATGGACTGCCAAAAGAACGAACAAATCTGTCTTGGAAGATGTACAACCAGAATGCTGCTTAAAAGGGAGGGGGCAAGACTTTACCTTAGGTACTCTGGGCATGCTATCAGGAGGGACCAATCCCTGGAGAAGAACATCATGCTTGGTAAAGCAGAGGATCAGCGAAAAAGAGAAGACCCTTAATGAGATGGACTGACACAGTGGCTACAACAATGGGCTCAACCATAACAACGACTGTGAGGATGGCACAGGACTGGGCAGTGTTTTGTTCTGTTGTACACAGGGCCACTATGAGTCAGAACTGACTCAATGGCACCTAATAACAACAATCACTGGCAGTGACATCCACACGGGGTGGTGTCCCTTGGGCTTCCTCAGTGGGGCTTTCTGGACAGAACTCATGAAGAAAAAGTTAAACACAGAGTTACCATATGACCCAGCAATTTCACTCCTAGGTATATACCCAAAAGAAATGATAAGTCCACCCAAAAATTTATATACAAATGTTCACAGCAGCATTGTTCATTACAGTCCAAAAGTGAAAACAATCCAAATACCCATCAACTGATGAATGAATAAATAAAATGTGTTATAGACACACAATGGAATATTATTCAGTCATAAAAATTAATGAAGTTCTGACACATTCTACAGCATGAATGAATTTAAAAACATTACGATTTCTTTTATTGGGTGAAAGAAGTCAGACAAAAAAGGCCACATATCATATGATTCCATGTATATGAAATGTCAAGAATAGGCAAATCCATAGAGACAGAAAGCAAATTAGTGGTTGCCAGGGGCTGCGAAGAGGGGAGGAGAAATGAGACAAGACTGCTAATGTGTGCAGGTTTTCTTTTTGGGGTGATGAAATGTTCTAAAATCAGAGAGGGATGAGGATTGTACAACTCTGTGAATATACTAAAAACCGCTAAATTCTATATTTAAAAGAGTGAACTTTATGGTATGTGGATTATATCACACAAAGCTGTTATTAAAAAAAAAAAAAAAGAATGAAGAAGCTATGCACAAAAACTGGCTCTGGAGAACCATACTAAAAATCTGCCAGGCTCTGACAAGAGGGCCCACCACCCAGGGGCACATGTTTCTCCTGGACTCTCAGTTACAAAATGCCATGTCCCAACCCTGTTTTGCTTGGATCACACTGAAGTGACTTCCTCGGGGGTTTTTATTCACCTTCTGACAGCCCAGCAGAAAGACCACCCAGCTCAGGTCCAACCATGTAATCACTAGGCTGTCACTGTGCCATCCACAGCTACTCCTGACCACGTCTCACCCTCCAAGAGCCCACACACCACTGGAACCAGGATGTGGCATCTACACTGACAGCAGACCATCCACGGGCTGTCAGTGCCCTATGACACAGTCAGTAACACCTGGTAAGTGGTATCCAACTGATTCGTGCCCTTGAGATTTTTTTTCAATTGTGGTAAAATACATACAGCATATAATTTGTCATTTTAACCATTTCTGAGTGTACAATTCAGTGGCATTAATTACACTCACCATGCTGTGCAACCATCACCATGACAGCAACTGGTATGGAAACTGAAACTCAGTACCCACTGAGCAATCACTCCACAAGGCCCTTGTCCCAGCCCCAGCAGCCACTAATCTACCCTCTGTCTCTATGCATTTGCCTATTCTAGATATTTATGTAAGTAGGATCATACAATATTTGTCCTTTTGTATCTGACTTATTTTGCTCAACATGTTTCCAAGATTCATCCATGTTGTAGCCTGTATCAGGACTTCATTTCTCTTTATGGCTGAATACTAGTCCATTGCATGTAAACCGTATTTTGTTTATCCATTCATCTGTTCGTGAAAACATGGGTTGTTTCCAACTTTTGGCTATTGTGACTAATGCTGCAACACACACTGATGTACAAGTATCTGTTTGAGTCCCTGCTTTCAATTCCTTTGGGTATATATGCTCTTGGGATTTTTAACAGGAAAAAAAGTCAGGCAGCTGACAGCAGGAGCTGAAGCTGAAAATATGCATTAAAAGAAGCACTGAGACGAGGTGGCAGGTCTAGGGGGGATGCTGGCAAGATAGGGCGAGGAGGAAGTAGACAGTATGAAGAAGCAGAAGCCAAGGCAGAGGGAAGATCTACCGAGCAGCACAAGGTACAATTCCAGGTCAGCAAGAAAAGTGAGACAGAGACATCTGGAACACAGCTAGATCTTGTGAATGCTGGAGCACTAAAACTATTCCCTATAGTCCCTTCTTCCTGTGGACTAGCTCAAGGCCACTGCTGCCTCCTATGGCTCCAAGGTTGGTCAGCTTCTCCCAGGTATCCATGAACACCCATCTTTACAATCAATCCCCAATCTCTTAAAATCACTCGAGTATTCATCTTTGCTCCTTTCAAAGACCAGAGCTGGATTAGCCAATGGCCAGTAACCAACCAAAACCAAACCTGTTGCCATCGAGTTGATCCTGACTCATGGTGACCCCATGTGTTACAGAGTAGAACTGCTCCATAGGGTTTTCTTGGCTGTAATCTTAAAGGAAGCAGATCGCCAGGCCTGTCTTCCCAGGTGTCTCTGGGTGGGTTTGAACACCAACCTCTCAGCTAGTATTTGAGCGCTTAACCATTTGTTAGGTATCCTCAAAAGTCATGTAGCTTCTTCAAGTCTGTTTCCTTGTCTGCCCTACCTCCCAGAGCTGTCTGAGGGTTGTAACACACGTACACACTAACAGTGCCTGGACACCGTACAATGGCATGGAAGGTAGTGAGCCTCATTTTCAGCCAGGACACCATGTGTCTAGGACTTCAGTAAACACAGCCCAAGTGCCCAGGGTCCACTCACCGGATGTTGTTGTGGTTGGCCTTGGGTAGTTTCTCACAAGCATTCCACAGAGCCTGAAGCCTCTTGTCTTGCTCCTGAATACTGTGGAATTAACAGAAAAAGTCCTTGGTTGAACATGAAACAATGAAGTATCACGGGTGGTCACCTTAACTAATCATTGTAATATGTGAGCATGAGGAATTAAGTGATGTTACTGACAATATCAGCAAGCTATTATTCACATTTTTTATGACGGCTTCTCCTTCCAACCTTCTGTCTTGTCCTGTGCTGTTTTAAAAATAGACTTTGTTTTTTAGAGCAGTTTTAGGTTTACAGAAAAACTGAACAGAAAGTACACAGAGTTCCCATATATTCCCCCTTCCCATACCCTCCCTCACAATTTCCCCTATTATTAACATCTTGCATGAGTGTGGTCCATTTGTTGCAATACACTGATAATGATACACTATCATTAACTAAGGTCCATACTTCAGTATTTACTCTGTGCTGTACAGTCCTTATGGGCTTTGACAAAGGCTTCATGTTGTGGGCCCACCAATACAGTATCACAGAGAATAGTTCCACTGCCCTAAAAACGCCCTGTGCTCCACCTATTCATCTTTCTCCTCTGCCCCCTGGATCCCTGACCAACAATGATCTCTTTACCGCTTCTACGGTTTTGTCTTTTCTAGAATGTCCTATAGCTGGAAGCACACAGTATGTAGGCTTTTGAGACTGGCTTCTTCACTTAGCAATAAGCATTTACGGTTCCTCCATGTCTGTTGGGGCTTAGTAGCTCATCTGATTTTATTGCTAAGAAATACTCCAATCCACCACCCCTCTGTCAGTTTGCCGTACTGCGGTAGCTTGTGTTACTGTGATGCTGGAAGCTATGCCACCGATATTTCATAAGGCAACAGAGTCACCCATAGTGGACAGGTTTCAGCAGAGCTTCCAGACTAAGACAGACTAGGACAAAAGGCCTGGCAATCTACTTCCAAAAATTACCCAATGAAAACCTCAAGGATCACCACAGAACACTGACTCGCCTGCTTTGAACACATCATCAGGAGGAATCAAACTGCTGGAGGAGGACATCATGTTTGGTGAAGCAGAGGGTGTGGCAGAGCCTCGGTGAGATGCACTGCCACAAAAGCCGCAGGGACAGACTCGAACATACCAGTGACCGTGAGGACGGCACTGGGCCAGGCAGCATTTTGTTCTGGTGCGCAGAGGTTGCCATGAGTTGCAGTCCACTACGTGGTAACTAACAGCAATACTCCACTGTAGAGATGTACCACAGTTTACCCATTTACCTATGGACAGACATCCTGGTCGCTCCGAAGTTTTCGAAATTATGAATAAAGCTACTGTATGTCCTGTGTGATTTTCAGAAAGCTTCACCTGTGCAGGTCACGATGTCACGGGTGAATGTGTGCCATGGTAGCAAGTGAGGACAGGAGGCCAGAGGCCAGAGACCTGCTCTGGAGAAGGAAGGGGGCCAAAGGCCATGGAGTTGTCAAGACTACGATGCTGACACAGAGACACGAGACACTAGGCAGGGAGTTCAACCTGCTTATACTTCATGGTGGCAGCCTGTGGTCCAGACTAGTGCATGTTATTTAATGCGTATTAAGTTCCTCGGCATCTAGCACATACTAGAAGCTTAATGAGTAAAGTCAGTGAGCTTGATATACACCATTTGCCACGGCACTGACTCCGACTCATGGAGACCCCACATATGTCAGAGCAGAACTGTGATCCATAGGTTTTCAACGGCTGATTTTTCAGAAGTGGATATCCAGGCCTTTCTTCTTAGGCACCTCTGGGTGGACTCAAACCTCCAACCTTTCAGTTAGCAACTGAGCACATTAACTGTTTGTACCACATAGGGCCTTCTGAACTAGATAAAGACATCAGGGAATCTGACCAAAATTTTAGGACATAATTCAGGGACAAGTTCCACAAACCAAAGGATTCTCCACTCTACAAAAAGACTCACTCTAAGGGTTTCTCTATTAACAAGCCCCCCTTGAATGAGAAAATACACACACAAAAACAATTAACATCATAAGACAAACTTTTTACATATTTTTCATGAAAGTCTACATCAAAGCCTACATGGTTAGCAAGGCCTTACGCTCAAGGAAGCTTTTCTGCAGAAAATGAAATGGGTGAAGCCCCAGCTCTGACCGCTGACCTGGGGCAAGAGGCCAGGGTGGTGGCCCTCGTCCCCAAGATTCATTCCTGGGTACAGAGAGGTCCTTCAGCAGAGCCTGACCAAGCCAAGAAAGACTCCCTTCTCCCCTGGGTTCAGTTTTGAGGAAGAAGCAGACATCCTCCAAAGGGAACTTTTACTAGGAAACTAAAGTGAAAACCCAACATTCCATTTAGGAATGGAAAGTAACAGATCGTGTTTTTAAATAGTCTGACTAAGGTCTGGCCCAAGAGGGTTTCGCACAGGGAGGTCATGAAGACTAGCGTTACAGAGAGGTTTCTGAGTGAGACAGACCCAGCTAAATTCCAGCCCCATCCTAACTGTGAGTCTCATGCCAGTTACTTAACCTCCATGAACCTCACTTTGATTTGTAAAATGGGGCTACTAATAGTGCTTCCCTCAGGTTGTTGTGAGGGGATTAAAGGAGACTCTGGATGAAGCACTCAGCAGAATGTCTGGTTCATTAAAGTTCCCAGTAAATGTCTGCTGCTGTGACTGTTCTCACACCATCAGCCGATGGCAGCAGCCCTACTTCCTTTCCACTCTCCAACCTTCTTAAGGGTGAAATGGAAGATGGTGCCAACATCTTTAATTCAATAAACATCAACAAATAGGTACCAAGTTTCTAGTGTGTGTACTGTCCTAAAGCTGGGAAGAAGGAAACAATCAGAGGTTATTGCTTACTTGGAGCTCAGAGTCTAATTGGCTAGACAAACACATCTGTAAACAGGACGATCAGTTATTGTGGTTGTTTTTTTCTATTGTGGTAAATAAATTATGCACATACTTATATATACATATAACACAACATTTACCATTTCAACATTCCTCACATGTACAATTCAGTGACATTGTATAATGTTCATCACGCTGTTCAACAATTACCCTTGTGTGTTTCCAAGTTTCTCCATTACCCTTAACAGAAGCTCAGTGCCCTCTAAGCAATGACGCCCTTTTCCCCCTCCCTTCCACCCCTGGTGACCACTAATAAACTCTGATCTCTACACACCTGCCTGTTCTAGATATTTCATATAAATGGGATCCTACAATATTTTTCCTCTAATGACTGACTCACTTCACTTAGCGTAATGTTTTCATGGTTCATTCATGTCGTAGCATGTATCAGGACTTCATTTCTCTTTATGGCAGAATAAATTCCACTGTGCGTATGAACCACGTTTTTTATCCACTCTTCACTCGGTGGACAGTTATATTGTTTTAAGCGGGGAATTATCATCCCATCCAAAGTGAATGGGCTGGATCATGACTGCTGGCTGCTTTCTATCGGATTGTCAGAGAAGGTCGCTCTTAGGAGGTTGTACTTAATAAGGCCCAAATAACCAGAAGGAGCGACCAGGCAAAGGACTTGGGAACAGCTGCAGTCAGAGGGAACAACTAGTGTGAAGACCTCAGTGCTTCCATCCTAAGGAAGCTTCCCACGATTGGAGCCTCAGTTCTTCTTGTATCCTCTGTCTGTTCTCTCTCAGCCCCTGGGCTATTCTGAACCTCTATTCTGCATGAGCCCTCCTGGCTGGTGCAAATGGTTAACATGCTTGGCTGCTAACAGAAAGGTTACAGGTTCAAGTCCACCCACAGGTACCCTGGAAGAAAGGTCTGGTGATCAATTTCTGAAAATCAGCCACTGAAAACCCTATGGCGCACCGTTCTACTCTAACACACACAGGGCCACCGTGAGTTGGAACTGACTTGACTGTACTTGCTGTTATTCTGCAATAGTTTTTCATGGAAGCATTTAATTTATCTGACTTCCCAAGATGCGTCCTTTGAATTTCACACCATCTTGCACTGTCCTGAAAAGCCCTAACTTTAGCTCTCACTGCTTCCCTGGCTCCACTCTCAGCTACTGGATGTGCCACCCAGGGCTGACCTGCCTGTGTCCTGCTGGGTCTGCCTGAAGTACAATCCCCTGTAAAGGCTGGTGCTGCCCTCTGGTGACACTCAGCTTCTTCACCAGAGGTCAATGGTTATCAAACCAATAGCCCTGGGAACGTTGGAAAAAGAGTCCAGACCAATTACATCGGAGTCACTGACATAAAGGTCCAGGCACTGGTATAATTTAAAAGCTTTCCAGGAGATGCTGATGCACACACAGGGTTGGAAATCACTGCTCTAAGCAAAATTTCTTTCTTTAGGTGACGTGACCTTAACAGCAGGCACCATCATTCCCAGGAGTCTTTAGGAACTATGTGCATATCCTCCAGAAGCAGAAATGAGTCCTGTGTTCCCTTGGTTCAAAGACACTCACCTTTTGGAGGCGTCTGGATCAGTCCTATTCCCTAACAAAGACACATCTTTGCAAGTGAGCTGCGAACCAGGGTCTCTCAGATAGGTCCAAAAGATCTAGCTGGCCTGCCTTTCTCTAGTCTTATAGCTCAAGGTTACTTCTATATTCAGTAGTTGAAATGGACAGTTTCAATCAAAGGCTATGTTCTCACTTGACTTCATTTTTAGGACCAAAGTCTTGGTCTGGAGAGGCATAAAGTGCCGTGGTTAAGACAGCGGCTCTGGAACCAGACTCCCTGGATTCGAATTCTGGTTCTGCCATGTCTTGCTGTTGTCGTTAGCTGCAATCAAGTCAGCCATGACTGATGGTGACCCCAAGCACAACAGAACAGAATGCTTCCTGGCCCTGCACCATTCCCATGATCAGGTGCAGACTGGACCACTGTGATCCACAGGGTTTTCATTAGCTGACTTATGGAAGGAGATCACCAGGACTTTGTTCCTAGTCAATATTTCTTAGCGTAGAAGCTCTGCTAAAACCTCTTCAGCACTGTAGCAACGTGCAAGCCTCCACTGACCAATGAGTAGTGGCTGCACATGAGGTGAATTGGCCAAGAATGAAACCAGGTCTCCCATATGG